TTCCCTTTCGGTTACATTCCGGAGAGACCCGGGAGTCCCCGCTGGATCCACCTCCGCGTCCGTCCGCGCAGTCCCCGAGAGTTCTTCGCGCTGTGACCGGCTTCCCGCGGTAGCCTTGCTGCGAGCAAGGAGCGGAAGGAAAGACCGGGAGCTGCTGACCGCAAACGCACGTGCACACGAGCACGCGGGCGGCTTCAGCGCCCTTCGCTCTTTTTCCTTCCCTTCGGCGAAAGGTCGCCTGAGCCTCGCCCGGAGGAAGCCGACGAACGATAGGAAAAATAAATATAGAAAACGAACGAAAAAAAGGAACAGAGAAAGAGAGAGAGAGAAAGGGCGGGAACGCGTGCAAAGTATCCTACGAGAGCCACCGCACCAGGCCAACCAACCCACATGCAATATCTCTTTCGGGATCGACGGAACGTAAATGTAAAACATAGTCGTAATCGATCGATAATCGTAGCTTAATTCATTAGCGTGTAACACATAATAGAGTTTATTTTTTGGTCGCAGAATATTGTTATAAATATATTAGCCGAAAGCGCGCGGAAGCGGGACGTTTATGTGTATGCGCGTGTAGGTGTGTGTGTATGCATGTTGTAAACGTGAATGCACGTGTGCGGGTGCGAAATGAGAAAGAAGGAGGGCAAGGAAGAAAGAGCGAGTGTGCGTGAGTGTGTATATGTGTGTATACGTGTAGCTGTTTGGCTGTGTTTGTGTGTGTATGTGTGAGAGAAAGAGAGAGAGAGAGAGAGAGAGAAATTTTACGTAGAGCATAACAGACGTGATGTAACGATGGGCGTGTACGATGAAATAAAACGCGTGATGCTGTATGCATATATACACGTGTGTGCGTGTTCCGTGCATGACGCGGAGAACGAGTGTGCGCGAGCGCCTTGCGCCTTTAATTCAGCGTGTAAGTGTTGAACTACTAATGTGTGTGAAAACTCCGCGCGACAATGTGGAGCCGTCGCGACGACCCTCGATATCGGAGATTATCGCCTCGCGACAAGCGTGTGCATATCACGACGTATGTGCATACGATAAACGCCAATGCCGCGGCGAATCGCGGTTATCCAACGGGTGGACGGCAGAGCGGTGTTAGCGTTTACATCCGTATATATCCGCCCGATATATCGAGGGAGCCGACGATTGCCATCCGCGTAAGAGGTCTCTCCTCTTCGAGGCCTCTCGGGATGTCGTGATTATCTCTGACGGGCGTGCTTAATGAACGCCCGAGACGCGCCCGTGCTCTCTTTTAACGAGAGGTCGTGGCGATCACGGCTCCACGTTGACGATCACGCTCGGCGGTGGCCGGCGGACGAGGTGTAATTCCCTGGCCCGAGTTCCTCGCACGTTCGCCACCGAATGCGCTCTCCCCACTCGGCTCACGCGTGTATCTCCAATTTTTCGTCGTTTTAGGCATAAACAAGGCGGAAACGGGAGCGCGTGCGGTGGCGTACGGTGGTCCCCGACCGCGCGTGATAATCATGTCGCGGAGGATATATATTGTGGCATTAATAAAATTAAGATCGCGCATATATAAGCGACAGAGAGAGGGGCCGTGATGCGTGCGATTTCGCGTAGGATAAACTCGGCCCGCTGCAATCGCGCCCCATCGAGAATCGTATCCTGTGTCATCAATTTTTTTTTTCCGTGGAATATCCACCACGAGAGAAAATTTGGTCGAGAACCGCGTACAGTCTCTCCCTCTCTTTCTCTGTGGTCGCGAGAGAGTGTATCGCGTAAAATCGTCCGCGAATTTTTCTCGGCATGTCATCGGCCGTTCCGTTTGTTTCGCCGTGCGTTATCGTGATCGAGAAGTTCGCGCATGTTTGATGACAGTGTCGTGATTTCCCAGCTTGAAGTCTGGCGTTCCTTTCATCGCGATACGATGTGCGGATGCAGCGGGCCGGGAATCGTCGTTACGCTGATATACGCGTATAGCATATGGTATATCTAATATCACAAGATTTGTTGCTGTTTCTGTTTCCAATTTAAGGCACCGTGGTGAGAAAAACCTAAGAGCGTCGACAGACTAAACCAGACCGGGAACCGAGCCCGGAACTGTCGCTATATAAAGCATATATAAATGTGTGTACATATAAATGTATAGATCTACGAAAGACAGAATGTGAGAGAGAGAGAAAGAGAGAGAAAGAGAATGAGCGAGAGAGAGAAAGTGGGAGTGAGAAAGCGAGAGAAACAAAGCGCGAGTAATAGACGACGAGCGAGAAAAGGAACACACTGTTGTCGCGAATGCGTGTACGGGATGACCCACTATTATTACGGAATGCCTCGTTAACGATTAGGCAGATAAATTCTGAGAGGAAATTCTGAGCGTGTGGAAAAACTGAATGAAAGCAGGATAAAAATAAAAGATGAAAATATCTGGGACATCGTTAGTGAAAGAGTCCTGGAATAATCCGACTTGCTAATGTCGAACATAAAAAATCATCATTGTCTCTGTACTTCATTTTCGAGATGATATTTTAATTCAATTTCTTTGATTATCTCACATTTGCGGTGCAGTTTCGTAATAATGGGTCACCCGAGGCACGTGTATATGCATACGTAGGCAACGATATTGATATTTATTAATTATCGGCACGCGCGATATTCTCGTCGAGACGGTTTTCCGCGCTGAGGAAAGAAGGAAAGATCTTGCGGAAAGCCGTTCGCGGAGTGCGCGTTCCGACCCGTCTCGTTGGAACAATTATCAGTAGGGTCGTACTTTCATGCTCGTTTCTCGATCACACACAAGCCCACACACCCGCACACATACACACACAACACACAAATATACACCCACACGCAGACACATCTATGTATACACATACCCAACAGACACACGTACACTATTATAATTACCCAAAAGTAACTTGTACTATGTAACTATTACTATTTTTATGAATTTTTGTACATTTTTCTAATTATTTTGTATAATAATCGTTAGCGGAAAGAGAAAATGGCAGAGTTTTGGCACCCACCTCCCCAAAAAGTGTTCAAAACGGAGAAAAGGAGCTACATCGACGACGAAAAAAAGAAACATAAAAAAATGAAAAAAAAAATGAAATTTTGGTGCGAGTGTTACGCGCGCGTATGTGTGTATGTGTATGTGTGTGTATGTATGGATGTGTGAGAGAGAGCGTATACGCGCGATTGTATACGCGCGTTGTGAACATGTATTGAGAGCGAGAGTGAGTGAGTGAGTGAATGAGTGAGTGAGAGAGAGAGAGAGAGAGAGAGAGAACACGAGAGAAAGAGATGAAAGAAACGCGAATGAGAGAGAGAAAGAGAGTGCGAAAGAGGAAAGACGACGAGGAATGCAAAACGGATAACAGGAAAAAAATACGCGGGACAGCATACAGCGTGCATGCGCGAACTTTTGTGAAAGTAGCGAAAGAGGAGAGTGTAAGAGGAAGGAAAAAAGAAAAGGAGAAGAAAGAAAAACCGCGACTGTCGACAATGTAGTCCACCGTTTGTCTGTGTAATCTTGTCTTAATCTGTCTCCTTGTCTGTCTGTCGGTTTGCCTGTCTGTCTGTCCGTGCTGTGTTTTAGCAGGGGAGGAGAATTTCACTAAAAATCCTAAGGACGTAGCGTTATACTTTTATCTCTGGATATATGATACGACGACGACGTCGACGAAGACGACGACGACGACGACGACGACGATCGTGAAATAATTTTTATGTTTTGTATTAAAAGGAGAAAACGCGATGAAACTTCTTCTCAACAAAAACCCGCTAAAGGTATATATATACATAAATATATATCGTAGGGAGAGGAGAGAAAGAGAGAGAGAGAGAGAGAGAGAGAGAGAGAGAAAGAGAGAGAAAGAAGGAAGGAAGGAAAAGAGAGCGATACTGATCGAAAAGAAAGAGAGGGAGTGAGAGAGGGTGCAGAGGTAGCGTCGAGGAAGTATAGTAAAACGACTAAATGATGTTCAAAACGACGATAAAACAAAAGGAAAAAGGAAAACGCGGTGTAGAGACGGAGAGAGGACTTTTAACTCCGCGGTTCTCGTGCGCCGCGTAAGGTCGAATGTGTGAAAAAATCTACTTCGTATTTGACGACGTGTTTGTTATAATTATAAGAATCACCTTTTCTTTTTTTCTCGAAATGAAATGCTATGAAATAGATCAATTCTTTCATGGAAAACGGGGAGTCGTTTTGCTTTCGTCCGATATCCCTTCAACGCAAGTGGCTTTAGCGCATCAGGTGTTACACGTGGGATCACATATCGAATTCTGCGATATTAAAAAAAAATAGATCGTAGACGAAACGAACGTTCAAGTTATATCGGAAGCATACCGATTCAATCGCGACAGAACGAAGTAATTTTTCATTTAATTCCGAAAGGTAACATAACGCGCGCGGCACTTGATGCGTTAACGCCGCGGAAATTCCTTATCAACGAAACATCTCAAGCAAGAGCGAGGTAAACACACAGATCGTAATAATAGTCAACATATATCCTCACGGTTGCTTCAGTTAGCAACTCGTTGAGATTAGACGCAACATCGCAAACAGTTAAGGTCGAATGTGTACAGAAAAAAAACATCAGCACAAATCGGCGAGCTACAGTCGATGGTTACATTCAGCAGAGAAAGCGCTTTGCGTTGCACCGTCGATCCGCTTTGCGAATGTTCCTGAGATTTTCGAACACTTGACGGTTTACGCTTCTCCAACATGTTTACTAAGCGGTCCAGCATATCGAAAGTATGCTGGGAAAAATAGCGACCGTGAACGCGTTGGAAAAGTGCAAATCGCTACTGTTGTTCAGAAGAGAATTTTACAACAGTCGCAGAGTTGCTGCCAGAGCAGCGGAAATCGCTTATTAAGCTATTTCCTGTGCTAAATACAACCAATGATTCTTGTTACGGTTAAATAATCAATTGTGATTAGTCAATTTTCTTACTGTGTAACCTCTTACTACTTGCATCGTTCTGTCATATGCTCGAGAGAGCTTGATAACTTGTAAACTTGATATCACACATACCACATTTCCACCGGGATTACGCAGAACGAGGAACTGCCTCTTCTTCTGACACGCAAGATCGCTCACGAATACGTGAATGTCATTATTAAACAAACTAATCGCGAGGAGGAAGCGTCTCGCCAGCCGCGCGCGCGATGGAACTGGACGCTGTATTGTTACGACGTGGAGATTCAAAATAACTCAACTCGCGCCGCGAGTGTGGCGCCACGCATGAGTCGGACAGTCGGAAATCTGCAATACCGACCGCTGGAGGGGGGGGGGGCGACTTATCTTCAATATCGACTGTGAATTGGGTCGGTGGAAGCGTAGAAAGGTAAAGTCTTTCCTATAAGACATCGGAGAATTCCCTATCAGGTCCTACATTTAGATACTAACGGACATTTTGTTGACATGGTACAGAACGCCGCCGTAGGAGGATGCCGGCGGTGGCATTCGATAAAAGAGGAGCGAGACGCGCCGGACGGGCGGTGTTCCGCGAAGCGTGACGAGTTGACGCGACATTTATAGTGGCGAGCGGCCACCGACGGACGACGAGTCGGTGATGAGCTTGACAGTGGCGATCGACGCAACGCACGCCGAGTGACGCGCCTTCGGCCGATCGACGCGGGATCGTCACGAGTACGACAGGGAGAAAGAAAAACGAGAAAACACGTCGGAAGGAGAACGATCGATCGAGAGACGGGATGCGGCCAAGGAGAGTTTCGTAATAAAACGCACCTCTCGCCCAGGTATTCGCGCGCGTCTCTTAGTATGGCAGAATGGTTGGACGTAAATTGCTGCCGTTGCTGATACTCTTCCTGGCAGGTAAGCACCTGGCCACATCATGCCGCAAATCGCGCCGCTTGATTAACACGAGAGCGAGTGAGAAGGAGAGAGAAAAAGAGAGAGACCGACAGACACACAACGGACAGAGATGGATGAGTAGGATGTGTACACATACATAATACGTGTTCGCGCCGATGAAACAATCGGCGCAATCTATATCTGTCAACGATCATGCGATCTATGAGCGACTATAGTACGTGCTCGGCGATCGTTACGATTCAGGGTCGAGTTATGTAAAGAGAGCGACTATCGTTACTTTTCTGGTTGCACCTTTTTTTGCCCGTTGCTATCGTCACCTGCGTCATCAGGAGGTGACCGCGTCGTCACAAACCGCATAATAATAAGTTCTATAGCACACCTGACTCGCGATCTTTCTATGTATTCTCTCGCCGCGATCACTCTCGATCGTCTTCGCGCTTATCCTGCTTATTGACGTGTCCGAGAACAATCGTCGCAATAAGAGACGCAATAAATCTATTTATCAATTTGCCCACCTACGTCCTCGACGATGAGCTAGCCGACTTGGCGTGCACGACCAAATTCGTACTCGCAAGCCAATTTTCCCCTTGCGTGTTCACAGAGCAAGTTCCACTTGATGATCGCGTCGACGCCAGACACGATCCCGTTTCCGTTTAACACCCAGCGAGAAACGAGGATAAAATGACGCTCCTGGTTGTTATGATCGCCAAATGGAACTTATAATACCCCAAATGAAGCTCAGGGCGTAAGCTCTTGGCAATTGCGTCGACCGCGAGCGTCATTCTATCCTGGTTTCTTTCATTGGACGTTGAAAAAGGACGTTTACAATGTGGTCGCAGTTCTAAAGTTGCAACACTAGTCTGTGAATCGATCATGTATCCGTTTCCTTCGCGTAACATCATGAGAAAAATGAAAAGTTTCATTGACGAGTCCAATAAAAAAACTTTTCATTTTTTACGTGTTTATGCGAAGAATACATGCGATCGATGAATGCGGATCATATAAATGATCGATTCACATAGATTAGTATTACGACTTTAAAGCATAATTGCGATCATATTGTAGACGACCCCAAGCAAAATCATCTACCGCGTCGACTCGATCGCCAAATGGAACTTATTCTTCAACCAGTGAGAAATAAGGGTAGAATAACGCTCGTGATCGCCACGTGGAACTAACCTTAAATGGAGCTCGCCCATGGGGTAAGTTTCACTTGGCGATCGTTATTCTATTCTGACTGAATTCTCACTGAACATTAAACAAAAACGAAATCGTATCCCGCAATTATTAAGTGGGACGTAGGCATAGTCGCGCGAACGAGAGTGACCTCGTAAGTAACGTGTTTGTGTCTTTTGCAGGATGGCAGGAAGCAGTGGCCGTGGTACCGATACGGTACGTCGCCGTGGACGTGGGTAAAGGCCTGAAACTGGCCTGCGCCGAGGAGAGTGCTCTTCCTACACATTCCGACGAGTCAATGGGAGTAATGTGGGTAAGGGAGGGTCGGGAGGACGGACAGATCGAGCGGCTGAAAGTGGAGCCGAACGGCGTGCTAGAGCTGTTGAATGTCAGCGCGGACGACGCCGGTAATTACTCGTGCACCCTGGACGACGATCACGACGCCGTGAAAGCCAGGATCAACGTGGAAGTCAGGAGTATGTCGTAGCTTATTATAAAAAATGATCTTCAATTGACAAAAAAAAAAGTAGTAGTTGCACTAAGAGAAAAAATAGTTTATCTCGCTGAAAACTATAGTTACTTCCGGCGCTAACTATAACTATATCTACATAACCATATCTTCTTGTTATTCGAACAAAAAAATAGTAATGGCCAATATACATATTAGGTTATTATCACTAACATTTATAGTAACACTTGTTACAAAGTTAGTTCTCTTTCCTGTTCAAATGATGAATACAAAATGATAACGTTACATAAGATTTAGTGAATTTCAATTTGTCTTAATGTAAATTAATAAGATGATTGATTTAGATTGAAATTCTGAACATAGTGTAATCTTATTATTTTGTATACATTATTTTAAGCAGGGCTTGGTTCTTCCACGATGTGGAAGTCACATGTGATAATCTACTGTACGATAATCACAAATATCAAACACTTTCTCAGTGTAGTTTCAGATTTATCAGTTGATATAAATTTTTAGCATGCATATCTCGTGTACTACATTTATTACATTTGTTTGCAGCACCTCCTCCAGCCTTGCACAATGTGTGGGTCAAGCCATCTACAATCTTGGCCAACATTCTCTGGGAAGTGGCTGGTACTGGCGGATATCCTATCATAGACTTCACTGCCGAATATCGTCTGAAACCGACCGTGGGTGAGGAACCGGAAGAGTGGAAGCCCATTATTCCAACGCACATTCCTCCGAATTCCGTGAGTATCATGCCTTATCAGAGCACGACAGAAAATTGTAAAGGGAGTGAAGAACGCAATGTAATATAACACGAAGCGTTATACCATTCCTGATTAACAAGAACTAATCTAATCCGAAACTGATGGTCGTATAATTGTTTTAAAGAGGCAAATAGATGTGTATCATTTGGTGCCAAACACGACGTACTCGTTCCGAGTGTGGGCAACCAATCAGTTGGGCAGAGGCGAGATCGTGGAAGTGGAGGGTCACACGCATCACAGCGTGGAGGAATTGGGTATTTTGCGTTACAATTGCTACTAAATTATAATTGCATCACGGCTATTGTAAATAGAATTCTATCCTTGGGATCCGTATAAAGTGAGAACTCGAAACTCTATACAGGATGTCGCGGAACTATCGTCGAACTATTCTTGTATCTTCAAAGTAGCAACTTAAGTCGATAGATCTGTGCGGCATCCTGTATACATAATGTATCTTTTGAGAGAAACTGTAAGGATACGTTTATCAAACGTTCCTCTTGTTGTATAGCGTCGCGACTAACGATCTCTCTTATGCAACGTAACTAATTTTCAGAACTCGCTCGACACCTTTTAGCCGGCGTAGAGAATTTCGATACGCGTGTCTGGGTGGCAGCCGTAGGTATTGTCATGGGCACACTTATGATTCTCGGTTTAGGTACTTGTTACCTGCTGTATCGCGAGTGGAAAGTACCCTGTAAGCATCCTCTCTGGTAACCTTACATAAGAGCTTCCGCTTCTACTCTGTCTCTTTACTGCTGCTACTACTTACTACTACTTCTTTCCGCTGGTGACCGTATACTATGTATATATGTATATATATACATTTCTTGTGTATATATATATATATAACATATTCATGTGGCATTATCTAACAAGCACGATATCCACAGAGAATCTCGTTCTCTCTCTTACATATTAGAAAATCTCCGCGACGCAAGTTAGCTAAAGAACACACCTCACTAGCCGCATCATAATTATAAAATTGCAGAGGGAACGTTATTAGCATCTTACAATTAGCATCCGACTAAGCTGAACTTATCTATGGCCCTGATCTCTAGCTTCTCTCTTGCGACAGCAATGTTTTTTCGAATTTTGATTATACTCTCTCTGACGAAATAGATCTCTAATTATTTCTCTCTATCTCACACACTGATATCTTGTTCCTGTACTCTTCTGCACCTTTCGCAGATTTTTTCAACTCAGCATTTAACGACAAGTTTCAATATAGCATTTAATAAAGACGTATGTCTGTTTCATCTTTAGTTAATTTTCCTTATCGATATGACACTTTTCAAACTTGCCGCACCGAACACCGATAACGTGCACTCAGTTTACCAGCTCATTAACATTTCTTGTACCAAGTATGGCACTCTTTCATTGGGAATGAAATATACTACTGAGATTTGCAGATAGAATTTTTCCACCGCAAACTTGTTTGTCTCGTTATCTATCTCTCTCTACCTGTTTCTGAATACGATTATTCTATCTTATTATTCCGATTAGATATCACTCACATTGTATGAATTAATGAGCCTGCCGAATAAATCTTAGTTAGCAACAAATAGTAAGTACTACGATAGTCATAGAGCATTATGGCCTAGATAAGTGATACGGTAAGACGTCTCTGGCGATATCGAGGTAGGTCAAGGGTAGCACGCTTATTTGTCAGGCGAGGTAAAATCAAAGATTGGCACTTTTAGCAATAAAGTCAATAATTTAAAGTCTCACTAACAAAAATGTTAATCGTAAATAATCCGCAAAAGCGATCACTAACGAGACTTCGGGATGAAGAAATTACATCGTCAAGAATCTTGCACCTGACAAAGAGAACAACCGGTGAAGGGAGAGGGTAGAAGCTAATAAGGTCCGTGGCCCAGACCAATGAAGATTAATCTCCGTTCCGTGATTGCAGCGCAGCTGGAGGAGCAGGAGGTGATTGAGCTCGTACCGAACATCATTCTAAATCCGGGATTTTTCGACGAGCGCACCGAGCACATACCGCAGGACGAAAACTTCAACAATCAGACGACTACGCGCCTCAACAACAACAGCGTCGTGCAACCTAGACGGCTCTAGCATACTTCTCGATTATCTTAAAAGCGCCTTCGAAGCAACAGACACGAACACGTCTCTCTCGACGTCGTCTTGAAACGAGTAAGTAACCGAATTCACCGCTAAAGGCCTCGACTTCGAAGAGAGAAAGAAAAAACAAAAGTCGACGATAGAATAGAAATGCAAGACTACCTAGCGATTACGGCGAAGGAATACACGTCTCGAGACGCATTTTCAGGACTTGTCAGTCGCTTCGCAGTGTCCCGCCAGTGTCGAGTTTTCCGTTCACGGTCGGGGATCGAACTATACATATATAGGAGAGAATCGACTTCTATTCTAAAAAAAAAAGGTTCTCACGGAACCTTTGTTTTTTTAAAGCGATTTTGAAGCGAATCTTCCGGAACACACTCACGAAAAGTCGTCGTTCCTGGAAGATTTATAGATCTTAAGCTTTCTCCCGAGAGAGCAATAAATTTAAATAGATAAAATTTTTATATACAGCAACGTATAAATTGTAATCGCGCGCGATACACTCAGTGATATTTTTCGTACTGTGACTTAGGAATATTGAAATTCTGATTTTAATTGTAAAATCTTAGAATCGCAAGGGAATATTTGATCTTGTAATAAAGAATCCTTCAAGGAAAAATTGTGCCGTTAAAATGATGTATTAATTTCTATATTTTACATTCTAATCGTTTGCATGTAATAAGATTGCTAGAGGAGCATCTGTTTGCGAGATTCAGAAAGCATCTCTTTCACGTATGAAATAATTACGATCTTGTAAAAAATAGCTCCACCGACAAGAGAGACTGTCGAAACAGAAGGAATTGAAGAAAAAGGTTCCATTTTCTCGTTCGATCCCCGATTCACGACGCGACATAAAGTGTTCAAAACCCAAAAGAGCGTAAGACTCCACCAGATTTCATGCGAGGAGGTTAATAGAATTTTTTGGAGATGTTTACTGCAGGACGTTCTCACTCCCGTTAGTTTCTCGACGACACTCACACTCGACTGCTCAGACTGATCGAGCTTAAAGGCAAAGGAAAGGACTCCTGTCAAGCCAAAAGAATCGTAGTAAGACTGTAAAACTCTAAGAGATAATTTTGCGAAACGCGATAATCGAACGATATCGTCAAGAGAAGATGTATTTTGCACTCGTTTACTTTTTTCGAGAAGTAACGCGATGAATAGCGAGTATTTTTCTTTTTCTAAATAAGATCATTTGTTGTTCAATCGATCGTATATGTATACGATTTGACGAACTTACTGCCGTTTTAAGGTGTGCACAAGTCGTTGAAAGTTCCTTTCTAGGGATCTGCGGAAAATCGCTCTCTCGTTTTTGTTGTTTTATTATATAGATACATTTTTATAGAACTTTCTCTCTCTTTCTCTGTAAATATGCTACTGTTCATTATGTGCTCGTGCTGCTCGTAAAAAAATCCCGCGTATTGGAAGGGTTCGAGTGGAATGGGAAAGAATATAATTTTAATTGTAAGAGAGATACATCTTTCGTAATAATTTAGATTTTATCTACGATATTTTTCACACGATAATCCGCATGCTATCGTTCGAGGGATGCGTATCGCTTCGACACACTTCTGCACCACCTTAACACAATCACACAGCTCTGTCTAACTAACTGACTACTAATTGACTCACGTTGATTCGCAAAAATCAAATTTTCCTAAACAGCGACTAACATAAAAAGAAAGAAATAAATGGGCGGATAACCATAAGTCTCAATAGGTACAATAAACCGTACGAAAAAATACACGGTGTCCCATTTTTAAAGCATTATTTTCCGATGACGGATTTGCGGATTTAAAAAGCACAGAATTTGACATTGTAATTGTAAGAGGAAATTATATTGAGTATTCGGATTTCAAATATAACACAGAGAAATAACAATTCCGGAATCATGCCGATTTTAGTACTCTTTTCGAGAAATCTGCGGTTGGAAAATAGCGCGTTAATAAGTGGGACACTTTATATAGGCGAACGAGAGCAACCAACGATGCGCGAGAAGTGACAGTCGCTTCTCTTTCGCACCGCGTGCAATAAGATTTTTTCAATAATCATAACACTTAATTCTCTAATGTACTAATTAATAGGATGCGACAGAATAGAACGCATCGCATATTTTGAATAACGCTATCGTATTTAGACGCGAATGTGAACTCAGCCGTGACCGACTAACCGGACGACGTTCTATGACGCTTTGTCGGGACGGTGCTTCGTGTGTGTGTGTGCGCGCAAGATTCTAACGTCATCTAACGATTCCGTTAATATAAAAGAGGTTTGATATAGTAGTGACCTATGATCTTTTTTGATGGATATCGTTCCTATGTATCTATTGTATTCTTTCATTCCTTTGAGTTAAATACGCTGGTCGTTTTATGAAAAAAGAAAAGAGATTGGAGTTTTTTTCCTAAAAGATCTGTTAAATTTTTTAGAAATTGTGATTTTTATTTATTATCTGAATTATATATTATTGTTATTTTGTCGATTCCAAGAAATTATTTTATTAATATCAAGTAATTTGTACATTACATATGAAAGACAAGAGATGTATATCAGGCTTATTATAACAATGATTATATTTCTCTTTTACGACGCGCGAGTGCGGATTAACGTATATTTATGTTTTATTGATAGACATTTTTTTTTTTAGAATTTCTTTCGCTTCTTCATATCAGTGAAATGTAATATTTCGAGTCAACTACAAAGCGACAAAGTACTTTGATGCACGCAGGTTGTATAAAAATTGGTTGTGCGTTGTTACATTGAGGCTTCGGATCTGCTTCTCCTTTTGACGTATTCTTGAATACGTATATGTGCGTACGCACGCGTATAAAAGAATTGTTATACGGATAAGCGGATCGGCACTTAGCTTCGTACTATGCACTCTGTGTTGTGAATGGTATATAAATATATATATGAAAAATAATACAATAATTATATAATTATATATATATATAATAATGATATGAAAATACGTATACATATAAATATATATATATATATATATATATATATATATATATATATATATATATATATATATATATATACATACATATATTTATATAATCGAAGCATCATGCTAATTTAGGCATAAGCAAAAGACAATTTTTTATATACATTACATAATTATGCTGAAACCTGATGATAATATTTATCTACATATATTATATCGAGATAGACGAAAACTTTAAAAAACCGCGAGAGTTACCAAGTTTCGCTTTGCCGATCGACAAATGTTGCTCACGGAAAGTCACTTGCATAGTGCGTCTCCTTTTTGCTCTTCATTTGTCAAAAGAGTCGTATTACTTTTACCAAATATTAGACATACTAGTCGTTTAATGTAAGAACAGTAATACGTAGCGTTGAACCAATAATTAACAAAAAAATATATATTTTTTACACGATAATGCAGACGTATAACGTAGGTTTGAGTTGATATATCAAAACCAAATACTGTATAATTTAATACTGTTTAATATTGTCTCATTATATACATAATTTATTCTTTAATTTTTTTTTACGAAATTCGTAAGGTCCAATGTAGATTTTTTAAATGATACGACTCTTTGGACCCACGGATATCAAAGATTTAGATAGTAATCCTTTATTTTTCTTATCATGTAGTGATAAATACCATATACACCTGATGCCTACAGCTATATCTTTATCAAAATTGCCCAGTGACATATTGAACTACTAAGAAAATAGGAAACTGTTCTGAACAGATTTGCACAATAGTAAATAATTCAACAAATTATTCTTGTATAATTACTAAACTAAACCGATACGAGGGGGGTTTAACAATAACATTTATAACAAAACTCTAGAGAACGTGTCATGGAATTTCTGCCATTGTGCTGTGCGAGAGGAAATAGCATATCTGCACACGTTCATGTGAACAAAACGTTCGTGACAGTGACGAGATATTATTTTTAGCAGTGTAGAAAACGCGTCCGCTGAAGGCTCTCATCATTGTAATAATAATAAGTCGATTTCCGACGAACAAAGAATTGACGTACCGACCGTACGCGCGCGCTTTATATATGCTAGCGTATATATAAATATATATCTGTATAGCCAATATATTTTCTATTCCTTTCTACGATTAGGGTTGTATAAGAGAACGCGCGATTAACGAGACGGAGAATCTCGCGGTTAAATAATAAATTTAAGTGGACGCGTGAGCAGAAATGAATTATAAGTGAGTCACAATATAGAAAAAAGATATTTGAAAGATATTTGATAAAATCTCTCTCTCTCTCTCTATATATATAGAGACGAGAGAAGTGTGCGATTACTTACACAAAAGTAAATCGTGTACAGTAATAATGGCAGATATTTTGCATTCATATCACATGAAACGGTAATAATCCACAGGCTGTTGTAGTAGATCCCTTAGGCACACAATTTGCACAATATGTATATTATATATTTGTAACTTTAAGACAAGGCATTTGGAAAAGCTCAAAAAATTACTCTTCTCCGAATCGCTTAATGCGAAACTATGCGAATAGCATATCGTAAAGTGTGATAAAATTGTATATTATATATATCAGACATTTTTTAACATTCAAAATTTTTCTAAGGAATTTTTAAGAATAGATCTTCTAAAAAAACACGTTTTAAACATTTCTTCCTGATTCTAAATATTATTTAAACAATTCTTTTTTGTTTTCAGGTGGCTTTTCGCTTAAATTCAAAATTTATAGATATTTTCTTTGAATTCGGTATTATCCGGATAATATTATAAAATATTCTGTAGATTTCTAAACTCTTTTTCTTCCTCTTCAATCTATTTTCTTCTGTTCCGATGCCTCGTCTTAAATGTCTCTATCCGCAATAAATCCTCTCGTTGCACATCATCACAGTCCTCATCATTCGTCCTCTTCTATAAATAATCAGTCCTATCGCTTCTCTTTTTCTCGCTTTCTTGTGATTCTTTTCCCGCTGCTTCTGTCCACGTATTATCGTCATGCTATTACACTGCTTGGCACTATATCAGCACTTCGCATCTCAGCGAATAAAATTATCGCCTCGCTAATTTTTATCGTAAGACGTATCTCGCATTAATTATTCCCCGATATACCTCGATTAGCGCACCGAGAAAAGAAGACGAGGAACGTATATTATTATTAAGCGAAGCACAATGCCATAGAATAGTATTTATGGTCGCTAGTGCCACCATGTATCGTCCCCTAACATACATATTGCCCGCCTAATTATATATCCCGTGCGACGAATAATCCATGTGGTTTTTACAAGAAAAAAAAAGAGAAAAAAGCTATGTGTGGCTTCTTCCATGATACGCGGAACCATAGTTTTGTAATAGATATTAGTGTCCGAATAATAAATGTTTTCTTCTGTATAATTCTTAGTGCGCTCTTAGCAAGCTTCTCCTTCGTTCTCTTCGTTTTTTATTGTAAAAACTACAGTCGCCACGTAATCGTTGATCTATAATTGCGATAATTATTCGCTTAAATCACCCGAGATTTAACGATGGCGACAAAAAAAAAGAGAAGCGTATCATACCAGGCAGCATTGTAAGCGCATCAAGTCCAACTTGATGACTATCGGTGGTTCGTTGATATTAGTACGTTATAAACATATTCAGAGCCGAATTTTTCACTGCGGACACTTATTTTTAGATACTTGAACTATCGTAACACACTGTAATTTTAATTTTTATAACTTTAATTAATTACGGCTTTATCGCCTCTAAAGATACAACTTTAAAGTTACAATTTTTTATATTTCCCACTTCACTCTCTCTCTCTCTCTCTCTATTATTATTTTTTTATTTTCTACAGAATCTTCGTACATTTTAATTTTTTTTTCGTAGTTCATAAAAATGTTATAGTCGTTAGATCCGCGGTGTCAAGTCTGGCTTTGAACGATGCGTATACTCTTTTTAGTATTTAGATTAGATCATATTATTTTTGAGCGACGTGTTGACAGAGAGGATAGGGGCCACGAATGACTAAAAAAAGGATAGTTTAGTTTCAAATTGATTTGATAAAATAGTAGATGTATTTCTGTTGTTATCGATACTGTTATTTTGTTTGTTATATATATATATATATCTTTTTACTCTGTTGCGTATTCGCTTTAGTGCGTTCTCGTACAAACGGTGTAAGTACACCGATCCATATAAGTGACCTATGTGTTGTATTATGTAACAATGTCTCAATCGGTTTTTTCGATGATGATACATGTGCATTTAATGATAAGTTGTTACAATTAGTCACTGGCGCGAATGTATTCGTCACGTGTCGATAAGAACTAGAGAGTCATTATTATTAGTTATTATTCGATTATCTTTTGGCAGTTTTGTAAAAAAAAAGAAACGATGTCTATTTATTATAAAAAAAATTTAGAGATAGCAATTATTCCGTTGCCCTTGTTTCCATTATTTTCTGGTGAGAAAGAGATTTACAGAAGAAGAGTTAGAAATTTTCAAATTTAGAAATTGTTCTTCTTGCTCTCACCAATAATTTTCTTGCATGTACGCTTATATTAAAAAGCGATGGCAATGAATACACACATTCCACCAAGTACAAAGATTACCTTCTATTTTGATTGAAACGCGGAACCGCATAACGCGATGTATTTTCGATTGGACGTTGCTTTTTCGTGTACTCCTTCGTGAAAAAAAATAACATTTTGTGCTTGTTGAGTGCAATTACCACGTCGTTATTACATAGACTATACGTATATAGTCGTCACTAGGCACATATCAGCGAAATGTAATGAGAATTGTCGTAATCAGCGCTGCACCGTTGTATCTATTATATATTATCGAATACTGTGTTTTGCGGTCACTAGTGTAATACAATGTGCAATATTATCTGAATACGCCACATTTCCATTTTATGTTAAAATGAAATTAAACATTCTCGATTTCCTACGAAGCGACTTTTTTTCAACTCTTTACTACGTCCACTAGATGTGATCAATTGCGAAATCTACATTTTAGAATAAGAAACACTTTGCACATTGAGAAAATGATATTGTAATAATGTTAAATAATTTTGTGAAGGAAAATGTCCGGAATTACACTTAAAATTATTCATGTTTGTGAACACTGTTCATAATGTATGAAGAGTGATATTGTTTTGTTCTAACATCTCCCATTAATCATCAATTTGTCGCGTTTTCGTCGATATTACATTCATAATGAAACGTTATATTACGGCGATATTGTATCTAGTTTTAATCTACTATCGGGATGGTTGTCACAGTGGTTGTCACTCTATATAATATTAATAATAATAATCTATATATATATATATGTATATATATATATATATATATATATATATATATTTACATATATATATATATATATATATATATATATATGTAGATTAAGAAAACTTCCAGATTTATTTACAAAATTCGTTACAAATATTGATACAATAAATGTAATCATCATTCATAATAGAAAAGAATTAATTATTTTATCCATTAAACAGGAATGATCACATATAAAGAAATAATTTGTACATGGAAACAAGAATTTTTTTTCCAGTTGGAAGAATTAAAGTGAGTACTTTCTAATTAATAAATATGTCTTTACAATTATTTAATCTAGTCATATTGAGATTAAACCTATTTTTATATATATATATATATATATATATATCATCATCATCATCATCATCATCACATCATCATCAACGCTTTAGAAACATTTTAAGTATTGTGTGAGTTCATGTAATAATTATAACTATCGATTTTTGTAATTTTATTTAACTATTACTAACTAATACTTCTATTTTCACAGGTTTATATGACAAATAGGATCAGAATTTTGCATCAATTCAGGTATCTGCTTTTGCACTTCAAGATTAATCATCTCTTTCAATTAGCCACTTACTATATTAACGCAAGTCACGCCACAAGAAGCAAAGTTTTCTCGATCTTCACGCAAAGTTTGTTCATTTCTGTTGGCATCATATATTCGGCCGCCAGAATGGCATTCGCCACAGCAATCGTTTCCTGTACTGATCTTGCTTTGATCCAAATTTTACCATTCATTCCTACAGCCATCTCATATGCTTGATTGCTACCAAGCAATTTGAACAATGGACACTCTGGATTCAATAATTTCCTTATAAGACTCAGGGAACAGGTAAATATCATACCATCTGTGCTAAGTACACCCAAGTCATTCTCTTTGCCCTGTGAGTCCACACACACCAATTCAGGTTCCATATTCTTGCTGGCAATCAACAGCTTGGCAAACACTACGTCACCTATTTGTATATCACGACGATTCTTTTTGGTCACGCCTTCGAAAGCCAAATATGACAATGATGCCTGTTCACTAGCACCGATATCCACCTTGTATATATCGCCAGCCTTTTGGGTTACTATACCCACTACATTTTCACCTCGACTAGGAATATATCTATGCACAAAATAGAGGAATATTTGAGATTAAGTGTAAGATTACTTGCACATTGTAATAACAAAGGTGTTTAATATTGAGTATTTTTAATAAATGAAAAGTTTTCTGTGAAACAGCTTTTTGCTGCAAAAAAATACAACTGGATGATATCTTTATTTCGGTGACTGTAATCCTCGAAGAATTATACAATTCTATACGCATTAGTTGTATCAACTTATTTAAATATTAAATTAATATTTTTGGTATTATACACATACACAAGTGTACATATATACATAAATAACATGTTGTACATATATACATATAACACTTGTGATATTAATGTCTGAAATATTTTATATAATTGAATTTTGTTAACTTTCGAAATAGATCCACGAAACAATTTCGGCGCACATGTATTATTATAAAACACCTGTAAGCATGAATTTTATACCGTTTCTGATAGCTGTCAACATAATACACTGCAGGTTCACGTTTCTTCAAGATACCTGCTTTACAAACAAATACTGTGTCGTCGTCGCGACGTAACCCAGGACCCAGAATCACAACCTCCTTTTCCTTAGACAATATTATATCCTTGATCCTATCCCCTGGTAACACTACATCACCCTTGTTAACTTCCATCTCAAAGAAAACAAAGTTTTGTCACCTCGAAACGCGCGTGCTATTGTGAAAATTTGGGATTTTTAACAATCACCGGTTCGAGAAATCACGTGTATATACCCTTGACTATATAACTATAGACTGCTAGTAGTGCGTTTAAATGCGCGTCAACATTTGTAGCGCCGTCAGTACCAAACAACGGCCATCATCTGAACTATCATCGTACTTTTCATATCTTTTTACCCTAGAATGTGCTCTACATGCTAAGGGTGAGTTCCCACTTAGCACGTTATGCGTCGCGTCGTCCTTCGCGGACCAATCAAATCATCCCATTTTATTTGCGTAAAGTTAGACAATAAAATGAGACGATTTTATTGGTCCGCGAAGAACGACGCGCGCGTGACGCGCTAAGTGGGAACGCACCTTAATGTAGGGTTTACACCGCGTCTGATGTCCGACGTACGATGTCCGATATCCAATAAAAGAATAGCTTTTCAATAGAGAATTGAATTCTATATTATAGCGTGTTCGACTGGCCCTGGATTAATCGCTCCGAGAGCGATTAATGACTTATGATGAATCATAAGTCTCTACTAGCCAATCATAAAGCTTATAAGTACTTGTTCGACCAATAAACGTAGACTGAATAACCCAGAGTGGGTTAATCCAGAGCCAGTCTAGGGTGCGTTCAGATTCCTCATCCGGGTGCACTCTATTACTAGAAACACTATAATATATGTGACATATACTATAGCACTTCTAGTAATAGAATACACCCGGGTGGGGAATCTGAACGCAGCCCTACATGCTATTAGAAAGCTGTTCTCCTATTGGATATCGGACGTCGTACGTCGGACATCGAATGTCGGTGTGAATCCTGGTGCATAACACTATTGCCTAGAGAATATC